TGTCCCTCCCCAGCACGCCCGCCTCGCGCCCATCAGCTTCTCATCGATCATCCGTTTCACTCCCGGCCACCGTGACCCACAAAACCCAGACCGCCCTGTAGCCACGCTTTCCTTCAGAGGAAAGGAGGGGATCAAGGATTGTGTTTTAGAGGGTTTTAGAGGGCATGAATTAAAACTGAGGCCATTCCTCATTTTAAAAAGCTGTTGGTTGTTCTATGCCATCCAGCCACCCCAGGAATGAACCATCTCCAAAAGCCCCCGTCCTCAACAGCGTTTATAAACACAAACTTGTGGTTCCTTTAGGGAGTCCGTCTGTCTCGTACTGGGTCTTCCTCTTTTCCTGCTGCCTTCCCCGTTTCTCAGCCATTGCTGTGATTAAACACTGTCCTTCAACAGAGACTGTTGAATATAAAACGCTGCTACAGTCCGGAGGGTTGCATCCAAACATAATTTCAAACAAGGATCCAGGCAAACATTTGTTAGAACAGGGATAAAATATTCTCACATTTAAATATTAACATTTGTTACGGCTTGTTACGTTTCTGTATTTTCTTCAGCATGTCTTATCTGGCATAGATGGCTTCTCTTGTCTGCGTTTTTTTTCCTCACAACCGTGGGGTGAGGTAGGATCAGGCGCAGAGAGTGAGCCTGGCCCGAGCAAGTTTCCTGGCCCAGGGAGGATTCGCACTTAAACGCCCTTGTCCAGCGCAGTAACCACTAGGCACCACTGGCCTAAAGACAGCTCTGAATTGTTTTCGAGGAGACAGGCTTTCTTGATATTTCTCAATGCCTGTTGTGAGTTGGTCAAACCCGCAGAGAATCGCTGGCCTCTGGCCTGCCGTTGAAAAAAACCAACAATAACGATTCTTTCTCTCACACACATACACACACATCTAAGTTTCCAAATTTGGGCAAAACCTACAGAAGGGATTTTTGGTGAGAAGAGGGAGCAGAAAACTCATCATCTTTTCCCCTTTCTGGATCAACGCTTGCACTTGTAAAAAGGACCCCAAAAGGACTGGATTCAAAAGCGTCCGGCAACCGCTCTTGAGGTTTGTGCAAAAATTTAAGCAGCATCTTAAACGTTGAGTTTCATCTCTTACGAAGGAACCGTTCCAGATTTTGATTGAAACAAGGCCTCAAACCCCAGGGCTGGTCCCAGCTGGGTTAAAGCTATGGTTGGTGGGTAAATGGTGGGCGGAGGCTTGGTTAAATCCTGGTCTACTCTGCTACTTGGGAAAATGCCCAAACATAGAAGAAGCCTGAATCAGGTCTGTCCGGGTCCTCATTTAAGCAGCAAACTCAGATCTTAGAATCGTAGAATCAAAGAATCATGGTGTTGGAAGGGGGACCCTATAAGGCCATTGAGTCCAACCCCCTGCTCAAGGCAGGAATCCAAATCCAAGCAGATTGGAAAGAGGGTTGTCAGATTTTCTCTTGAATGCCTCCACAACGCTGTAGCGCTCACTGCCTCCCAAGGTCCTGCCATCGTGCCACTCTAAAAGTCAGGAAGTTTTTCCCGATATTCAGCCTCAATCTGGCTTTCTGTTCCTTGAGCCCATAATGACACGTCTTGCGCTAATGTTTAAGACTTGGTAGGCTTTGGATTTTAAGATATTAATGGTTTCTTTTTTCCCCCAGAGATGGTGATGACTCAGTGGGGACTAAATTCCATGGGAGATGCAAGGCGTTATGGGTCTGTGGGGGGGATCTCCCTGGCTATTATGTTCCATGCAGGATGCGTCTCAGGAAACCACCAGTCCCATAACACCTTGCATCTCCCATGCCACAGCCCCACCCAGCCACTTCCTCCATCTTCATCACATCCAAGAGAAGCCATTATTTCATATTCGAAGTGATTACAGGCGCCTGAAAGGACTGGGGTATTGTTGGCTAAATTCCCCTGAACCCTGCAGAATTTTTTTTCATGATCTTCAGCCAAAATCTGGCTTTGTGTCCTTTGAGCCCATTCTTATGGGTCCTGCACTCTGGGAGGATGGAGGACAGATCCTGCCCCTCCTCTGTAGGACAGCCTTTCTAGTCTTTGAAGAGTGCTCTCCTCTCGTCTCTCCATCCTCTTTTCTTAAGGCTAAACAGACCCAGTTCTTTCCATCTTTCATCCTTATACCTCTCGTCTCTCCATCCTCTTTTCTTAAGTCTAAACAGGCCCAGTTCTTTCTGTCTTTTCTCCAGATATATGGCTTGGTTTCCAGTCCCTTGATCCTCCTTCCTGCCCTCCCCTGAACTTGCTCAAGTTTATTGGCATCCTTCTTTTTGAAGTGCGATGTCCAGAACTGGGCACAGGACTCCAGAGGAGACCTAACCGGTGCCAAATAAAGTGGAACTAGTACCTCGCAGGATTGTTCTCCTGAAACCACTTTAGGTTTGGAGAACCTTATTTTATTCCTCTCCCTGTGACGAGGAGCTGAGGGTTTGCTCGGGTGTTGCTCAGGGTCCAGCACAATGAGTTGTCTTTCATCACGGCTCAGCCGTGAGGCGGAAGGATTTAGTGTAAAATTCTTTCCATGGATCTTTCTTGCTGCCTGTGTGGGTTTCTGTCTGAATAAAACCGGGGCGGTGTCTCTGTGCATACCAGTTTGGGCGTGTGGGGGTCGAATTACCTATTTCCTACTAATGGGGAGCAGTCTGCAAAGGACTCCTGGTGGGTTCAAAATGTTTAGAAAAGCGCTCTTTTTAAAATATTCTGTATATCTTTAAGATATTGCACAGTGTTGTTTTGGTAGGAGAGAGGGAAGGAAGGAGTTAATGACTGGGTGCCTGTCTTGAAAGAGGGAAAGATGGGTGGGTGGGTTAAATCTCACCGGTTTCTCCCTCTGCCAGGAGGAGCTTGGGAATGGGTGGGGATATGGGGACCAAGGAAGGAAGGAAGGAAGGAAGGAAGGAAGGAAGGAAGGAAGGAGCTGATGAGGGAGGGAGGGAAGGAAGGAAGGAGCTGATGAGGGAAGCAAGGAAAGAAGGAGCTGATGATGGAAGGAAGGAGATGATGAAAGGAAGGAAGGACGGAGGTGATGAGGGAAGGAAGGAAGGCTCGGAACAGAATGGTTTGTTACTATCTGAAACGCAAGATTGGATGGTAACATTTTAGCTCAGTCTAACACCAGCTGCAAGGGAAGATCACATTCAGCCTACCAGAATTGACTTCCAGACCTGTGCTGAAATTTGATCTGAGCAAACGATTTAGGTCATTGTGTACCGAAGTACGAGTGATGGTTAGGTGCGTGTGTGTGCGCGCGCGAGAGAGAGAGAAGAAATGTTTTTTAAAAGTAAGAATTTATCTGAAAAACCATTGTTCCTTATGATGGAGATAGCAATGTATAGTGGTACCCCCTTATCCGCAGGATCAATATCCAGTGATTCACTTATCCACGGTCTGAAACTATTAAAAGAAAAATCTCTAAAATATATATTTCTCATGGTGAAGTTACCAGAATTGGCCACTAGAGGAAGTCAAAGACCATGTTGCATACACTGGTTGTTATTATAATAGTGTTCGCTATTATCCACGGTTTTCAACAGACGCGGGATGCTGAAAAATGGGAGCCGCTCTCTTGCGGATATGGGGGGGTGCTATTGTATATTTTTTCCGGGAGAAAAAAAAATGAGAGAAACACTTTGTATCCCTCTGGATCTATTTGCTGATGCCAGGTTTTCATACCTGAGAAATACTTCCTTTAATAATGAAATTTCTTATGGTCAGGCAGATTTTAAAATTTGGGCTTGAAGGGTTTAAAAAAAAGAAAAAAAAGAGTTGTGTTAGAGGACCACACCTTTCTAATGCCCCCAGCCTCAGGGCTGGAGAGGTTACTACCCTCCCCGTGTGTTTGGACTACATATCCCATCTTTCTTGGCCCTGGGCCATGCTGGCAAAGTGGTGGTGGAGGGGATGAGGCTTCGGCTGTCCCCGGTGTCTCTTTTGCTTTTCTCTGGTGGCTCAGGAAGTGGGAGAGTTGGAAACAGACACCCTTTCTGGAAACACTTATAAGGGAAGTTCCTTTCTTAGACCGAAGTCTCTTCCAGCTGGCTAGATACAGTAATCTGAAAAAAGTAACTCATTCCAGGGTATGACTGTTAAGTAAATGCAAGGCTTGGGAAGTTAAATGGACTGTTATTGAGCCGCTCTACCCCTTTGCCCTCCTGCCTTATTTAAGGAACAGAAAAGCCTGTCGTGTTCCGTTGGTCACCATTTTTAAATATTTGGGATTCATCTTCTGAGCAATTCCAATCACCCTTCCTCTCACCTCTGTTTTTGAGGAATCGGTCCCTTTAACTGCAAAAGCCCATTTGCTTGGTCTCCGAGGGCTAGATCACATGGGGTGTATGTGTGTGTGTGGGGAAGGTATATTTTTCTCTCTCGGGGTGTTTTCCTTTCAGACACACCATTCCTTCAAAGCTCCATACCAGAGTGGCCAGAAGCTCTGGCTTGACCTCTCAGTGGCTAATCACATAACTAGTTGTCAAGATGCAGACTGGGATGTAATTCAGTGGTTTCGGCATCTGGCTGAGCAGCCAGAGGTTGGGAGTTCGAATCCCCCACTGGGCCTCCTTGACAGGGGCTGGACTGTTTGACCATTAGAGTCCTTTCCAGCTGTGCAGTTCTAAGATGATGACGACTGACTTTCATTTTCTATGAAACTTCCTTATAATGGCATGATGATGGTATCATGTAATTTTACCCTAAGTGTGTTTGGATTAAAACCTAGTGTAGACTCACTACACTGGAATATTCCACTGGTGGGAATGATAGAAAGTAACTTGATGGATGGGGAAGGGTATCAAAACTGGGTGAAAATCAGTGGCCAGGATTGTGATATTGTGTGTCTGTGTGTGTTTATCAGCAGTAATCCCATGGGACACTTAGTCCCACATAAATGCGGGGATGCAACTTGGAACAGCAAATAACCTCTAATTAACAAGTCACCGCTTGAATGCCTAGTTTTGTGCCAGTTGTGTGACCAGCTCCAGCTAGGTATTTGAGCAGCGACTTGTTAATTGGCGGCTATTTGCTGTTCTAGGTTATATTGCTGCCCTCAAGGCAGGTGTGAACATTCCCTTGCCTTCTGGTTGTTGCTAAATTAACTCACTCCTCCTCCCATTTCATGCAAAACAACACAAATATTTAATTTTAATTTAAAAAAAAAGTTTTATAAGAATCTGAGGTCTAAAAGCTGTGGTGTTTCTTTTACCCTGTTCTTCTCCTGGCGTCCTCTCATTTCCCTCCCTCCCTCCTTCCCTTTTTCAGCCTACTCCGCGCCAGGCACACCCCCTGCGAACCGCTTCGTGGGATTAGCGCCACGCGACCCAGGCAGCATCTATCAGGCGCAGGTGAGTTCCGGGACAACCCTCTCCCTCTGGGTCGGACACCCCAAAAAAGGGCGAGGCTATGATTTGCATAACATTGAATATGCTCATTGGGAAGTCCAGATGCAAAATATAGGTTGCGATCCCAGCGTGGTGTCAAAAGGTTGCTTTCCGAGAGTCTGGAACATGGAAGTGATTTCCCTCGACTGCTCTAGTTTAGCGCTAGAACGACCCTTTTCACACAAGTGCTTTAGCGCTGATGTTCTTTCTAAGGTCTAGCTTTATTTATTTGTCTTATTTATAGCCCCCCCATTCTCCCAATAAGAGGACTTGAGACGGCTTACGGTATTAAAAAAGAGTGCAACTAAAACTGCAGTGAGGTATATACAGTGGTGCCTCGTTTAGCGAGAGTGCAACTAAAACTGCAGTGAGGTATATATTAAAGAAAAAAACACAACCCTATTAAACTAAAAAAAAACCCGACCTGAATATACACTGAATATTTAAAAACAGGTAAAAACGCCAGAAACAATGTTAAATTTAAATCTTAGCACCTCTGCCGGCTGGGCTTTCTGACATGAGTCCTGGGGGTTGTAAAGTCCAACAAAAAGTTATTTTCACAGCGCACTCCCCAGAATCCCGGCTGGGAACCTGCGCAGTGGTAGACTGCTCCTAAGTGGGGAGGCTCCGTTTCCTAGCTAGGAGCCACGGACCCACTCTCATGGGCATCTGTGTGTGTGAACAGCATTTGGGAGATATGGGAGGAGCAAGAGGACAGCGTTTTATCCCCAGTTCCTGGGGTCCAGTACTTACTGTTGGCTGCCTCCTCTGGTTATGAATTCCCCCCCTTCCCCAGCTGTGTCTGGGGACGAATGATCCCCATTCCCCACCCCAGAAAGCCTATAAGGAGCTACAGAGCCTCCCCTGTCATTTCACCTCTTGTATCAGCTTGACTGCCCCTGGAGATGGAGGCTCCTCATTTGTTTTGAGAAAAGCAAAAGATTATTTGCCTCCTTCCCAAATGTGGATTCACGCCAGTTTTTCTGAGCGTGACCCTAAACGACACACCAGCTGTAAAACCTGAATTATACATGCATGCATGCAAAGGGAGGAAGACCGGTTTTCCTCGATCCACTCTTATTTAATGGGGGGGGGGAATCCTTAGAAATGCATAGTCAAATGTGCTAACTGAAGAGTTCCGGATGCGAAACAGGAAAATCCAGGGCCCTGTGGGGAGTAAAAGTAAATCCATGGAAAATTCATTAAGAAAAAAAAAAGGAGTAGATTCAGTATGGAAACTGGGTGAGAGTTGTTTCCTTCCTTCTGAATAATTTCTGGGTCCTTAAAAAGACCTGCGCCCACCCACCCCCCTCTCCACAGAGGAACTGTTTAATTAAAATGTAATTTAAAAAACGACGACTCACTGAACTGTCCTTCGAGGTAACAAAGCTGTGCAAACCGAAAGGGTCAAGAAAGAGGGGACGATGGTCTGTCATCCCCTCCTTATATCTTGCCAATATAACGCTGAGAAAGGTGAAAGGCCAACAGGGAAAGAGGGAGACCCTTGCGAGAGAGGCATCCACGCCATCAAGGAAACCACGGCTTTTGAGGTGGCGAGCGGAGAGCAAGGTTTGGGGTGGGTTTGCCTTGAGGGCCAGGGCAGGGTGAAATGAAACAAGCGATAGTGCTGGAAGATCAGACTCCCAGGGCAGGGGAAAGGATGGGGCATTTGGGAGGGAACACATTATTCATGGGATTGCTGGGAGTTGGAGACAACCAGACAGCACAGAACTTAATTTAAAGGCGGCTTGAAAAACAGCAACCACCACCACAAAAAAGAAAAAAGTCTGACACGTGCTGGGAAGGAAGTTCGGAGACTTCATTGAATCTCTCATTCTCTCTCTCTCTCTCATTTTGTTTTTCCTTCCACCACCTCCTTCGCCCCCATCCGGTCCCGGATCCGTCCCTCCCCTCGTGGTATGGGTGGTGTGGCCGCTTCTTTAAGAAACAAGGCCCCGGCCCCGTGGGCAGCCCGCCAAGGGGACGGTCTCCTCCTTCCCCTTTGCCTTGCTTGGCAGAGGGCACCGGCCGTTCGCAGCACGAAAGGGCTGACGGGTAACCCCGGGCGGTGCCACCTCCTCCCACCCCCTTTTCCCCCGCCTTCTGCTTGGGAGAGTTTTCTTTTTAAAAAGAAGCTCTTCCGGTTTCCTGCTTTAGGGTTTGAAAAATAACGGGTTCCTTTCTTTTTTTTCTTTTTTCTTTCTTTTTTTTTTTGCAAGCCTGGAAAAATAACTAGCTCCTTTATCTTCCCCACCCCTCCTTGCTTTCAGTCCACCCCCTTTTCTTTTCTTTTAGGGGAGAAACTTAGGGTTGGGAGTAGAATTTATTCCCTCCCTCCCTTCCTTCTTTTTATCCATCGTCTTCCTTCCTTCCTTCTATTCATCATTAGCTCCTTCCTTCCTTCCTTCCATCATCCATCATCCACTCCTCCCTTCCTTCCATCTATTCATCAGCTCCTTCCTTCCTTCCTTTTATCCATCATCTTCCTTTTATTCACCATCAGCTCCTTCCTTCCTTCCTTCCTTCCTTCCTTCCTTCCTTCCTTCCTTTTCTTCTTGGGCTTCTATATATCCCCCTTAATGTGAGGCACAATTCTAGCCGGTTTCCAGTCAGTAACAATCAATCAGGAACAGCAATAAACCCAAATCATAACAAACAAATAAATAAACAAGCAAACAAACGGGGGCACATTTACCCAAGCAGGGCCAACATCTTTTAAAAATTTTTTGTTGAAACAACCTGGGGAAATAACAACCAAAAAAGTGCTAAGACAGTTATGCAGAGCTAGAGATTGTGAGTTTGAATCCCCCACCGTACCTCCTTGACGGGGCTAGACTGGATGATCTCTAGGGTCCTTTCGTGCTGGGTGATGATGATCCTTAATGAATAGCTCAGGTGTTTTAGGTCTCTGCCTGCAGAGCCATAGGTTGGCATTATTATTATTATTGTTAAACAGCTTGTTTCTTTTTTCATCCTTGTTTGGGGTGTGTGTGGGTGAAGCAGGCCATTTTATTTGGCGATAAACCCTGTTTTCTCTCCAAGCCTGAGCAGGAGACACCCGGGAGGGCGCGCGCGGGGGTGGGGGGGAGAAGGGATCTGCATCCCTCTGTGGGTTTTGCTTTCGGTCCGCGTGTGCCTGCGTGTATCCATGGTGGTGTGTGGCCTGGCTCTCCCAGAGGGAAAAGGCAGTGAGGGAGAGGCAGGAGGGGAGAGGGAACCACACTTCTGACTGCAGAGGGGGACCAGGTGCGAAAGTGCCGCATGGGCGCTGCGGTGGCGTGGTTCGGAGGGGCCGAGAGGAGGTGAGGAGCAAGGGAGGCAGAGAGAGAGAGAGACGGAATGGTTTTCTCCAGCGCGGAACTGCTGACTTGGCAAAACACGGCTGAACGCTGGAGAAATTATAGTGCAGTCTCTCTGCTGGTGCTGCAAAGGGCGCCGTGCAGATTACTAAATGCAGCACCACTGCAGCCGACGCAGGCTGGAGGCACCGGGGGGGGGCAGCATCCTCTAGGCTAGGAATTAAAAATTTACAAATCCAGCCCCCCCATGGCCTCACCGTGTGAGCTGAGAAAGCTTGATCGTGTGCGCGCACGCGCACACACACACAAAATGAAAGAGAACAGCTTGGAGGGCAGTGTGGGGTGGACAAAGTCACCCCCGACGGTTTGAGAAGAAAGGGGCCACTGTCACAGACGGGGGAAATCTTGTATGATTTGATTTCTCCTGCATTTAGGGTTTTCCAAAAATATAATAAAATAAAATAAATCTGATTCTTGCCAGCTCAGAGGCAAAGGAAATTGAGAAAGGAACGGACTTCGCCTCGAGGGGCACGGACCGTATTTCAAGAGGTTGGGGGTTCCCAAAGTGGCGACAGTACAAGGACAGGGTTTAAACACCTGCTTTGTTGCCCTTGAACCCCTCAGACAAATTGCCCGATAAAAAAAATGTAATGATTTACACCCTCTGGGGTTGATCCGATGGTGTTTATTGCCCTGCAGACCTGATGCTGAGATTTTGTCTAATCCAGAAACTGAGCAGAGCACGTCTGGTCAAGAAATGTTATTTCACCCCCGATTCCAGCTTCCCAAGGATCCAGCCGGGGTTTCCTGCACACTTCAGTGTGTCTCTGTGAAATTCGCGAAGGCTTAAGAGCCAGAATATTTAGGAAGAAAATTTCAATTCTCAGGAAACGGATGGGCCCCCTAGGCCTTTATTCTGCTCGATAAATTTAGCACCGTAACTTTGTTTGGGTTTTGTTAGTCGTAGGGCAGATCATGGCCCGATACTGGACATTAATTCTGTACTCTTAACCAGCAGAATTCCTATTGAGGAATAGATGGATGGAAAAAAAGGCAGATCAATCTCTCCTATTTCCAGTGAGGAATTTTTAGCGGTGCCTACGGTCCGTTACAGCCAATGTGGAAACGAGGCTAAGAGTCTTTTCCTCCGTTAAGGTCTCTGGCAATTGAAACAAAATATTCATCGTATTCGCACATCTTGAGAAATATAGTACACATTTGTACAGCAACCCCAGGAGGATGGGCTGGTTGTTACAGAAGATGTAAATAACCCATCTAGGGCTTCAGGTTCATTCAGAAAATAAGTGTCATCTTTATTTTGGACAATTCGGCCAGTGCAGGCAATGGTGCGAATTTTACCGATTTTATGTCCAAATGGGGCAATTTTGCACAAAACCAAAAATATACAGGCAAATGTGGCACAAACTCATGCAAGAACCGGGGGGGGATAGAAGATTTCTCTCCATCTTTTGAAGGAGACAGCTGCACTCCTTCATCCTTGCCAGAGAGGATGGGGTAGGAGATGATTTACAATCTTTTGAGGTCTAGCCACTTGTGTGTTTTTTTTAAAGGAAAGCTCAGACTGCTTGATGGATAGAACCAGCACCCCAAACCGGATTATAGTGCTACTTTCGGGGCATGGGTTTAACGGCTAGGTCTTCGTAATCAGAGCTGCAGGGAGGAGGACGAGATAAAAGCAAAATACTGACTACAGCATTGTAAAAAAAAAAGAACAGATTTATTTCCCATGGAGGCTTTTGTGAATCAAAATTCACTTTTTCACACACAAGTGGATGGATATGTTGCATTTTCTTTTTTCTTCGTTCTTTTTTACTTTACTTTCCTTTAATTTTGCCACAATGCTGAGATAGGCTAATAACAGCTGCTTGTTTTCAATGTGTAGCGGAATAAATCGTGCTGGGAAATGCAAAGTCGAGCCTGCGCTGCCACCCACTGGCGATATGCAAGCACTGCAGGCTCCACTTGTCTCATTTTAACCACAACGTTCGTCTTATAAGCATACCAGAACTTGAAATTCTACATTTTAAGGAGAATCGTTGTGGTGGTGATTTGGGGGAAGTAACTTATGGTATCGTTTTGGCCTCAGCCACCTAGAGTCCTCGAGGCAGCATGGCATCCTGGGATTTGTAGTACATTTCAAATTAATTGGGTTTTCCTTGACTTTTTAGTTGCTCCTGCTCCGACCCCAATAAACCCATTTCAAAAAGGAGGATAATGGCCTAAATTTGAGGGAGGGGGAAGGAACGTCCCCCAGGGGGAAAAATTTGGGGCAAGGCAAAATAACAAATATATGTTGGTTTGTGAATAGAAGTTGGAATGTTAATATTTTGCCAAAGGAATAGTCTTACACCCCCATTGCCATCAACGAAACAACTCAGCTACTTAAGATGTAATTTTTTATGATGATCTACAAATGTTTATTCTTCCCAACACCGAGATGTTTCCGGTGACTTCAAGTAGTAAAAGTTAGACAAAATTGTTGGAAAACCACTGCCCCACAAGTTTGGTCGAGACGATCTGCATACCACGTATGCAGAAGAGGTGCTTGCTCGTCTCGTTGAATCATGTCTGCTTGTCGCATATTCTCACGAATCTTGCATTTCTCATGCCTTCTTTTCTGACTTTCTTTTCTGGCTCCACCCTTGTGTGGTAGGGCCTCACTGGGCTTCCATCTGAAGCCAGTCAGAGCGAGGATTGAGCCGTGGATTCATCGTCATGAATTATTTGTAATGCCACATTGTTTCAGCAGCATTCCCTGTCTGCCTGACCGAAGCACAGCACCTTTTCCATATTTATGACCATTCTTTGCCACCTGCTCCTTGGCCCCGTTGATAGGATATTAATTTGGAAAATGAGACCTCCGGGGTCTCTGTTCAGGCACCCACCGGACTGGGAAGCACACTAGCTAAAGCCCCACACCTTAGACCCATAGACCCATAGAATAAACAGAATTGTAACAATTTTGAGCACTCAGGTTCATGTCCTATGCTCGGATTCTCCCTTCCCCGAGCCTCATGCGGACAGAGAAAGCCAGATGCAAAGCAGAACCCACAATTCACAAGAAACTGCAGCGGAATTGCAATTATGAGCCCTATCTCTTGTGGGCCCGTTGAAGCCATTTCTAGACTGCCGGGAGACGTCTGTGACCCACCCCATTGAGCAACTGGACGTTAATGGATTTTTTTGTGTGCAAGCCATGCCAAGGTTTTGTGCAAAACCTCCTCATTTTGCTAATGCGGCTGCTGTCAGCAAGCTAAAATGGATTTTTTTTTTAAGGAGCGGTGCAGATGGGTAAAGTCTCATAACCATTGGGAATGTATTTATTTGTTTTGTCTTTGAGTCAAGACACCTTTTTTCATCCCAGGCAGTGAAATGTGTGTTTGTTGGTTACACCCCTGCCCTGCAGACGGATTTTGCCCCAGGTCTCCAGACGACACACAGGAAGACCCTGTCCTGCTTCATTTTCGTTAATTACACCCCTGAAGTCCCGCTAAAGCTTCGTTGTGGTTTCAGTCTATGGTTCAACTTTTGCGTGATGGCAATCAGCCCCCCCCTCCTTTTCTAATCCTCTTTCTCTCCTGGGTGACCCGGCAAATTACAGGGCACCGTTCAAGGAGATCAGAGAGGGAAATTGTGGGTTTTCCAGAACTTCGGCTTCTTTGCTAGAGAGTGAGGAGGAGCAGAGGAAAAACCTCAGCGTTCGTCCAGTTTTCGGCCTCCCCGTGGTGAATCACTGGGACATAAACACTGGCGTGCAGTGTCTCTCTCAGAAAGGGCAGGGCAGAATAAACCTTTTGCCTATGTTTTTACTTAAGATTTGAATTTCATGGAAGTCCGTAGAGGAAGCCCCGAGCTGTTGGTTTACTGCCGAACGCCTGATTCGCTTGCCTTCATTCAAGATGGGCACGAATCGGTGGTTCGTGCCAGTTCGTTTTTGGAGCAAACAAAAGTTCGGTGCTTTGTAGCCTCGCCGCCTCCAGTGGGCGCCCGCTCAGAGGCAGCACCCAGAAGAGGCGGGGCCAGGAGACGGGGGTGCCACCTCTGAGTGGGCGCCCACCAGAACAGGCGGGGCCAGGAATGTCTGAATGCCTGTTCGTCCAAAAAGCGAACCAGCGCGAACCTCCAAACCAGTAGTTCATGCCTGTCCGTAGCCCAAATTTTGCCATCTTGAGATTCTGGGCATCCTTATTGGAGAGGAGCTTTTTAGGGTGACTTCTTACTTTTGTACGTTTACTGTTTAAACTCTGTCCGTTTATGTTCCTTCATTATAGCTGCCTAGAGTATACGGATGACGAGATGGGCCGGTTAAGTATCCCCAAAATAAATAAGTGAATAATAAATGAATAAAAATGAATGAAAGGGTGTCAAAGCATCAGCTCCTTGTATGGTTCAGACCCCAACCTTTAAAAAAAGAAAAGAAAAGTAACTTCGTGAAAGCGGTGCAGGAGTGCGTAAAGCCCGTCTCGCTTCAAACAGGTGCTGTCTCCAGATATCGGAAAGTGGCCTTATTCCCCCTTTTTAAAAGTTACTTTGGAAAAAAAATCAGATTTAGGTCGCAGTGTCTTTAAGTTTTTGTGGTGGTGGTGGTTTGTTTCTGCCTCCGTTCTCATGGTTTGGGCGGGTTCTCTAAACCCTGGACAAAGTAGCTCACCAGCGAAGCAGTGAGTTAAAACTTTAAAAACATGGGAAGAAGGCCGGATGACAAAGGCCACCTAAAACACTGGGAGAAGTTATAGGAGAGCTGTAACTCAGGTGGGCTAGCAGTAATTCGCTCCAGGGCACCCAAATTTGCCCCCATTTCGTTCCTTCATAGGTGAGGATTCTTACCCCTTTCCCAGAACGGGATGAGAGAAGGGGGGGGTAGTGAGCATGAGAGAATAGTTGTACTATAAAAATAAACTTAGAACGGCAGAGCTGGAAGGGACCCCTTAAGATCATCCAGTCCAGCCCCTGTCATGGAGGCCCAGTGGGGGATTCGAACTCTTAACCTCTGGCTCCAGCAGCCAGAGCACCTCAACCCCCGAGCTATCCAGCCGTTTGATTTGATCTGATTTGATAGCTTCTTTCATACATTAATTCTTCTTTTCTTTTCTTTTCTCTCTCCCTTTTAAACGCCGCACAACAGTCGTGGTATCTAGGTTAACCGCAGCTTCCACCTGTACCGACACCTCTTCTTCCTCCTCCTCCCCCCCCCCACCGGGCTTTGGGTTTCATTTAACGAGAACGCCACAGCCCCCCGACCACCACCCCCCGGCCCGAATCTTGGTGGCGTCGAGAAGAAAGAAAGGAAAAGGAAGGGCGAGAAGAGAAAACACTGAAGGATACCCCAAAAGGACAGAGAAGGGGGAGTTACAAAAAAAATTTTTTGGAGGGGGGGAAGGTTAAAAACAAAGCAAACAAAGTGCCCCACCCACCGACCCAACCGAGCAGCGAACGGCCCCGATGGAGCGAAACCCGGGTGGCTAAATGGGGCTTTTTGGCCCGGCAGGGAAGACGACATCGACCCATTTGCCTTGGTGGCTCCTGATCGGCCGAAATCCCACATCCATGGTGGTGGTCTCGAAAAAGGATGTATATGCAAGCTTTCCCAATCTCATCTCCCGTGAGTAGAGAAGAGCGAGAGAGGTCGGGGTTCACCAGGTCCCCAGTGGACGCCCCCCCGCTGTTTTCTGTGCCCGAGTCCCTTCCTTCCCCCCCCTCCACCGCATCTTTGGCGACCAACAGACTGCGCCGTCCGGCTGTCCAAAAACTGATCACCTGGTTCAGCAGAAGTCTACCTTGAGATGTAGAGTTAGAAAAATGCCCTAAGAGGAAGAAAGAGAGAAATCGATGTCCAGCACCTTTTAAGCGGTCTCCCTGACCCCCTGGAAAACAAGAAAATGGTCTACGCTTCGCTTTCTTAAGAGGGGGGCTTTGCTGAACCCGGATCCTTGCTGACGTAAACGAGACCTCTTGGGTGGGGGAAGCTCCCATTTTGGGGGGGTTTGTTTGATTTTTTTTTAAAGCAGAAATCTTCCTTCTTTCCAGGAATGTTTTGCACTTTTCATCTCAAAAGGATGGGTTCTTCGGAAAGGGGGGAGGAACAGAACCACGGCGGGTTGGGGGGGAGTTCGGCCCAGCGACGGAGGGCTCAGACCACCTCTAATTAAGGTTCATTGGCGAAGTGCAATCCGGGGTCTTGGAAGGAGTTGGTCAGGCGGCGTTCACATGGAAACTTGAGTTTTGTTGAGTTGGCATGGACCAAGAAGGGGAGATTGAGAATTGGGGGGGAGGGTTGACCATCCTTTGACGGCGGTGTTGAGGATCAGTTTGCGATTATGCTGCATTTAAGCAGCAGGGGTCTCCCCCCCCCTCCATCCGCCATGCTGTTAACCTTTGCCTTAAAGCTGGGCAGGCTTTCCTTGCTCCGTTGAGTCTGGGTTGCGTAAAGGGGGGATTAAACTTGGACAGGCGATGGTGAGGGGCACAGCATTGACACCCCTCTAAAAAACGTCTTCCTCTCCACCTTTAAACATCCTTTGAAACACCAGAAGCCAGTTGGGTGAGGATCTGTGCCATGGCATCTCTGATCGGGGGGGGGTGGGGGGGTGGAGGAAGGGTGACTGGGGCGGGGGAGTTGTGGTGGGTCGGTGGGCCTTGTGTGGGATCCCACCGCTCGGCCCACTTCGAAACCTCATGTACAGAACTATGCATGCCGTAATAGACCAGCTATGAGACGAGGGGGGTGTGGCAATGATGATGACGGATCTGGGTTGCACATTTTTTTTTGAATTTTGTAGAAAATGCACTTTGAAAAAGAGGAGGGAGTCGGGGGGAATTTAACGTGAGGATGGTAAGCAAGTTATCTCCAAGAGAGTTTGAGTCTTTGTTTTGAAGCGGGGGAAGGGGGGGTTCCTAAGAAATTGCCCACCCACCCACAAACGTGGTCAAGGTTGCCCTTTGAGAGGAAATCCTTTTGAATGAGAGAAAAACAGAGTGGGGTTCAGGAGGAGGAGCCAAAGGCCGTTGGGTGGCCTGCTTTCTGGAGGCCCTTTTCCTCCTCGCGCCGGTTCCACCTGCAAAAGCCCTAAATAAGCCATCCAGGATAACTTCAAGTGCCTACAGCTCCGGTCCTTTTTCCGCTGCGGGACGGATAGTGGCGTTCTGCATGATGGAGACCCCACCATATTGGGGGGGGGGCTGAAGACGGGCTGAAGAAAATGACGTCCTGATCCCACCACTTCAACGCAGAACCTCCCTTCTTCCTTTGAGTTGGACGTGGAAGCTTTACGCCACCACTGATAGGACTTTCCTCCGTTTTTTACGGAGGGCCAGGATTTGGCCTCAAAAGCGCAGCGGAGGGCTGGGCCGAGTGGTGAAGAAAGGAACACCAACAAAGTTGGTTTCCAGACCGCTGGGCCCTCCCCAAGGGCTCCAAGGACAGGCGTCGTTCCTGATGTGTAGAAGAAGCACCCTTTTGTGCCAAAAATCGTACGGTTGAGGAAAATGGAGAGAGTGGAAATCCCCCTCCTGGGACCATCTACACAGGCTTGCTGACAAGCCCCTACGGATTCCAGAGCGTCGATCTTCTAGAAGTGCAGGTAACCTTCTGGAAACACTGAGGTGGAGAGATGTCCCACGCAAGGGGTTTGGTACTTCGGTGGCCCCCTCGGTCCCTACTTCCTGGGGAAAGTGTGTCTTCGAGATTCAAAGAGCATCTGCGCAGCACACCTTAAACCAGTTTAAAAGAGTTGGTCCGTTCCCTGTGAAGGAAGATTTGTGAACTATCGGTCTCTGAGGAGCTTCTTAGAAAGGTTCTCCTTGCCTTCCCTGAAAAGGACAGCTCTTTGGTGATGTCGGGGGAAGACCTCACGCCAATGGACAATGGAGAACAAAACTGTTTGTACGTCTCGATCGACCGTGAGGTAGCCAGATCGGAATCCACTTCTCTCCAAGTTCAGAGCCGTACTCGGAGAACCAACAACCGATTTCCACAGTTCTGCACCTTGAGAGCTTCCCCTTCCAAACAGAGGCCACTAACGTGTGGAGGCATCCATTTGTGTGCACGTTGGTCCACCCCTGGCATGCAAAGCCACCTCCTGGATCTGTTCCTGTCCTCTGGCGAGGAGCGTCCCACTTTGGAATTTCCTTCCGGGAAGGCCGTGGGTCAAGGTTTCCATGCTTTGTGTGTTTGTGAGACAGGTTCTTCAGAAGAACTTATGAAGACAAAATCTGGACGTTCTTTTCGGGAAAAGGGGGGCCAAGAAACATCACCAGTGAGACTGAGCCGAAAACTTAATCCAGAATCTTCTCACTCTAAACCATGGCGGTGGCTCGGGACACTTTGTTTGACATCTCCTGCGGTTCCGTTAACTCTCAGACGGACCTCCTCTAATTCTAGAACTTTCCATCTCTGGCGCCATCTGGTGGCCGGAACGCTCCACTTCCCAGGCCCACTCCTCTGATTTTTACTCGGAAGGGTTGTACGGCTCAACCTCACCCATAGTCAACCCGGTAGCCCTTTGGAACTTGTATTTGCATATGCAAATAACTTCTCCCCCACCCATGTCTTCCCAATCAAGGCCAATGAGTGGCAGTGGGGAGGGGGCTCTTCCAGATATCCAAGACCTTGTGTTGAATTTGGCATTTTTAGGGGAGTTGGAAGGGGGTTCAATGGCACTTCTTTCCATATTTGCACCTTTAACCATGGGACATGTTGTTGCCAGCTTTAATGGGTGATTGGTAGGAGAGATTAAACAACTACCATGGGTCCTTCCACCCACCCCACCCCCCGTATGGTACGGTCTCTGTGCTGGGACCGTACCATACAAACTATGGAGCCGGTGGCTGAGAGTTCAATTCTCCCACTGTGCCTCTTGGACAGCGGCTGGACTGGATGACCTCAAGGGTCCCTTCTCAGCTCTGCAGTTCTAAGAGGACGATTCTGAGGGACTCCAGGAAGGACGTCTGGGTGGGAGATTGGCCCGGAATTTTTTTTTTTACAAAAATCAAACAAAATGGCAATTGAAACACAAAAATGTCCAGTTCATTGGGGGCGGGGGGAAGAAACGATGGACGGAAAGAAAGGAAAAAAGCAACTTTTGGAAACCCGCAAGAAATGTAACCCTTTCAAGTTATCGACTTGCATGGTGCTTTGAAACAGGAACTCATGTGACTGAGCTCAACCAATCAGCTGGCTGAGATTATGCATGGCAAATATACATTAATAAAAGCTCTCTCCCTCACCGCGCCCCCCTCCCTCCTGGTCCCCCCTCCCTTAAATCCGCATTTACGGATAGAAGATGGGGGAACCAAGTAAAAGAAACCCCCCTTTTTTTTCTTCTTGGGGGGTGTGTGTCCTAATTTGCACGAGAGAGAGAGAGAGAGAGAAAGAGAGAAAGAAAATGTTTTATACCACAAAATGTGCCTTGCCTCCTATGAAAATGCGTATTAACTCTTTAAAAATGACTACACTGCACAGGTACCGTCGCATGTTTTTTTTTAAATGCGTGTATGGTGGGGGGGAAGAGGGGAAAGGAAGGAATGAAGGGGGTCGGGGAGGTGCAAGGGTGGGGGGTGTATTGTCAATTTTTTAAAAGCAAAAGACATTTTTTTAAAAAAAATCAGCATTAGGGTGCATGGGACTGTTTAAGGCAGGGTGCAATAGGGGAATGCCGGGTTTGGGCGGGGGGTTGTTTATTGTTAACGTGAATTTGCCCGTTCGGAAGCTCTGTATTGAGGAATTCGCGTGAAAGGAGAAGGGTATGGGAGAGGTTTTTTGCAACCTGTGTTGTGATTTCTGTGCGGTTTTGCGCAGCTCGAAGGCTGCCTTTTCCACCCCGAAACTGGACTAGGGGACTCGAGAGAGAAAGAGGTGACATTGCTTCGAAAGCCAGAGGGGAGGTTCTGTCGATCTCGTTTTTCTCAATGGGAGTCAACAGGACCGCTAGGTTTTTCCCTAGAACCTTCTGGCCCTGTTTGAGCGAGAGGAATGGGAACAGAGGATGGGGAGAAGGATGAGTTTGAAAGAGAACTGTCTTCAACTTCATTTTAGCCTTCGGAAAATCTAGGTTTGGTCCCCCGTTTTGGTCCAACCGCTCCCAAACCGATCTTCCCCCGTGCGACCCGCAGAGAATCCTTAGAATGTGAAACTTTAATGATAAGTTCCCTGAATTCTGGTGATCGAGATGTAACCTTTCCATAGGATTGTGCTAAAAGGGAGAGGGGAGAGAAAGAACGAGTGACGTATACAGTATTTGGGAAGTTTGGTGCATCCGCACGGCAACGTTTAAATCAATTTCTCCTCCAGGGGAAACCGGTTTGAAACGAAAGGCCGAGAAGTCTCAAGAGAAAGGCTCTTCCTTCATGTGGAATTGTTTTCTGAGAGGAAAATCACAGCTTTCAGCAGCTTTCCCTTTCCAAAAGAGAGAATCTGGAAATCTCAAAAGAATCCCAGAGGCCAGGCTCTCCCCTCCCTGCTTCTAGTTTGCAGGTAGACTGCCCTGGAACCTGGAGGTTTCTTGCAGTCGCAGCCAGCAAAGGAAGGAAGACGGTTAGACTGTTAATCCTGCTTTTCTCTGCTTCGTGTGCCATCATTGGGCTCGCAAGAGAGAGGGTTTTCTCTCTCTGTGGGTCTGAGGTTCTGGTTTGTGTGTTGGCATTCTCCTTGTTTCCGATTTCATTTCTGCTTTAATGAACAGGGATCAGGGGGCGAGGTGGGGCTTAATCCTGCCTCCCCTTGCCCGCTGTTAGCCTTGTCCCACGTCTTCCAGTTAGAAATGAAATTTGTAATTATGCAATCCTGCAAACCCACTCCTGGTTCCTTTTGCAAACGCGTCTTCGGGGAAAGCGAACGTGCAGTCAACAAGCGATCGGAGAGGGTGGGGCCCTTTTTCTCGGGAGAGGCTCATCTGGTCCCCGCGGCAAGGGCAAATTTCGGAGGCTTTAATCGAAGTGCGCCTCTGGCATGCTGTGGTTTTTGCCTTTTGCTTCCCGGATCCCACTTGGATGAAATGGCGAGAAGCGAACTGGTGGAATCCGAGGCTCTTTGGGTTGGACGTGATTCTCGTTTGGTGGAGATACGAAACGTGCCCGAATCTCTGTGCGAATGTGTCTCAGGGCGCCTCTGTGTGCATGGAAGAATGTTGATATTATCTGTTGGGATATTGGCAGGTCTTTAGGTCTGGGTCCTGAGTTCAAATCCAAAGTCTTTGGTCCCAAGTCCTGAGTTCCAATTGAAAACAAGCTTCCTTCCCCCCCCCAATTCCAAATTATTGGGGTGGGGGAAACTGAGTCAAGTCTGAGTCGAGTTAACAGTGCAACTTAAGTCCAACTTGATAGCTAGTCCTGTGACTTGAATCCACATCTCTGGCTATCTTGTATTCTAGGCGAATCAGGAAATACCGTGAATTTTCAGGATCATCCTTAAAAACCAGGTGATCCACAGGGATTCAAGGTCCAGTCCTAGCCTCCTTCTTGGCTGCTCTCTGACGAGAGTTGTTTCAGGTTTCAGGGGACGGGAGAAAGGCTGATTCCAAGCCTTAGAAAGGTACAATCTGTGAAATTACTTTAAAGTATCTCCTGAGCAATGGACCT